TAACGGTATTTTAATTAGTGGATGGTTCGTTTCGCTAACTATAGATAATTGTTTTATGAAGTTTTATACACGACTGAAAGTTAAAAATACTGGTCAAGTTTCGTGCGATAATTATGATTATTGTATCTGTAATTTATTAAGACTTTGTTTCGCCGCGTGATTGCAGATTTTCGATTATCTGTAATTAGCGAAACGAACCGTTTACTAATTAAAATCCCGCTGTTTTCGGCAAATGTTTTATGGTGTTATATACACGACTGAAAGGTAAATATATTGATAGAATTGTGAAAAGTTTTCTTATTGATGCCATGGATTATAGAAAAGATTATGTAGATTAATTTCCTGTATTTAACTTTAAGCACAAAAGATTCTTTCTTTTGTATTTTCTTTAAGTTTTAAAAAGTTTTATTTTTGTTTACCTCCTTTTAAAATGTTTGTTTCTTTTTTTTCATTTATTTTATTAGTATGTGCTTTTTCTAATAATTATATTGCAGCTTCTAATTACTTATTAGTGAGCCCATGATGTAAAAGGGTAGCAACAACTGAATAAATAAATAAATAAATAAAAATACTGGTCAAGTTTCGTCCGACAGTTGTGAATATGATTACAGGTTTTCGATTATTTGTAATTAGCGAAACGAACCATTTACTGATTATATTGTTATTATCGGCAAATGTTTTATTTCGTTATGACTCTACTGAAAGGTGATTATATACTGGTCAAGTTTCGTCCGACACTTGTGCATATTGTACGTGTAAGACCCTTGTTTCATTTATTACAGATTTCGATTATCTGATTAGCGAAACAAACCATTCACTAATTAAAATCTCGTTATTTTCGGCAAATGTTTTATGTTATTATATACACTTACTGAAAGCTAAATATACTGGTCAAGTTTCCATCGACAGTTCGTAAATTTTGTACGTGTAAGAACCTTGTTTCGCTGATTACAGATTTTTGATTATCTGTAATTAGCGAAACGAGCCATATACGTATTAAATATTATTATTTTCGGCAAATATTTTGTAAATATTGAGCATATAAAACCCATATTCACTGAATACAGTTCAATTTTTATTAGGTGTGTTATCCTGTTTCGTTTCGTTTCTTCGATTACAATAAGCCTTCTCCGTAATATGCTCGTGTTGGAAGTGGCGGGTAAGTCCCGGTGGGAAAGACCAGGCGGACGTTTGCGGCCTAGTCGGGGCTATGGGTACGCCAATTCGGGGTCTAGGGCTGCTGTATGAGAGTGGTTGTTGCAAGAGAGGGCCTACAGTGGGCGCAGCAACACTGTGAGTTTATTTCTGGGGGCCTATTGCATACATTAGCATTTTAAAAGGGGCCTATTTGCCTCCCGCGCGGGCCCGCTCTCGAAGGTAAAAAACACCCCGCTTTCCCGCTAAATTTGGAACGCACATGGGGTAGTAACAACATATAGAGTGAACCTCCCGGGGGCCGGGACAACAACCCATCCATTTATATATCTTCATTGTTCATGTGTCATATTAGAATGCAGTAGCTATATCAATGGCTGAGATTGTCCAAAATAGACGATGAAATCAAGTTCAAATGTAAGCTAGCTTGTGTGTGTCAAAGTCATTGTTGCCATGTATTTGACTGTGCACCCGTCTTTGATTTCCAAATCTCTACATTGCGAGACGGAGCCATTCCATCCCGACCCCAGCCCACTAACAACAATGATTATATGACGTCATTTTGGTATAGTAACCATTTAACCTTTTTACTAACATACTTTCTCGCTCAAATTTTTCTGTACTTTTTTTGAACCTAATTCTGGAGTCGATAGATAACATTTCAGTCAATTTTCGGTTTTATAACTTTTGCTATTTTTGTACCAATCTTCTGAAGGAAAGTACAGACTATAACAGGACTATTTGGTAATTTTTTGTAAAAAAAAGGGGGGGAACTGGTGCTGAAAAGGTTAACATCAATAAACTGAGCAGCACTGGGCAGCCCGCCCAACTTTTAAATAATTACTTAAAAGTAATATGAAACCTATTTGTGAATTCCCTGCCGACCTCTCTGTAAATGAAAACAAAATACATATACATTGTACGCTTTCTATTTTAACCAAGCCCATTGTAATGGTGAGAAAAACAACATGCGATACCCTTATGTCGAAAATGTCAAGTCACGGTTCGTGATCCCAGATACAAGTACGTAATGCTGATACAAGAGACATCGGGGGAAATAAATTGTCTTTTATTACATCATGGCGAAAAACGAGTTAAAAATTGGCTTGGTTGTTACGGAAGCATGCTTAGTAACGTTATGATAATGTCTGAATCACAGATAAGTTGTCACTCGTTTTCTCTAAAACTACCCTAATACATTTATTATATATTAAAAGATCAATGGCACTTGGCATATATGTAGACGTTTGTAATAATGTAGGACAAAAATAGAACACGGCAACAACAATATTTTCTCTTATCCTTATCCTCACGTTCAGAGTTACTTCTATGAATTACTATAAACAAAGTTAATGGGGATCAGATTACATATTCTGTGGGCATTTAGCTTATATTAATATACTCACTTCAAAATTTGACGGGATATCGCATAATAGGACATATGGTAGAAAAACTATAAATGGTCCAACCGTATACTTGCGTAGGCGTTATTGACATGTTTAAAATCTTGTTTAGTATGTATTCTAACGTGAAATCGTGTCAGAACTGGGAGTGGATTAACTGAGTATTTTGAGTGTAAAACTGGGGTTTGCCACGGTTGTATGCTGAGCCCGTTTTTATTTTCATTTTTTTTTATTAATGAGCTAGTAAGGGAACTTGAACAAACTGAACAGCATGGCGTTCAACTGTACCCAGATTTGGTGGAACTATTTTGTTTGCTATTTACAGACGATGTTGCCATATTTTCAGACACTGTTTTGGAACTCCAGCGACTATTAAATGCCTTAAGAGCATATTGTAAACCTAGAAAAGACAAAAATAATTGCATTTCAAAACGGTGGCCTTTTGTCAAAGCATGAAAAGTGGTTTTACGACGGTAAACACGTAGAAGTAGTTCCTTACTACAAATACGCAGGTGTATTGTTTTCATGTAGATTGCAATGGTCGTCTGCCACTAAACTTTTAGCCCAACAAGCAAAAAAAAAACAATTTTCATAATATTTAGGCACACCAACAAAGTCTGGCCTTTAACATATGAAGTATTTTTTTAAATATTTGATTCCGTGGTATTGCCAATACTGACATATAGGTCAGAAATCTGGGGGTTCAAGAAATATGACTGTCTTGAAAGAGTTCGTGGTTAAATACCTGCAGTTTACGAATTCACTCAACTGGATAATGTCAAATACTATATGTTTGCTGGTCGGAATTTGCATGGTATATTATTCACAGTCTTAATTTCTTGGCACAACTACATTTGACCAAACTGTGTTGAAATTACAAACAAGTAATATAACTGCTGGGTTATTTGAAACATATCTGTCACTGGTTTACTTCCACTTAGGCTATGTTAATTAGCTACTATAATGCAACAAATATTATTATTATGGATTGTTGCAATTTACAATTCGTTATATAAAAATGCATATATAATAATCACTTGAGGTATATTGTTACCCACTATCATACATGATATAATAAAAAAGAATAATTGTTTTGATATATTTTTGTTTGAGCAAGTAAAAAAAATCGTTTTACGAAAACTGGAATCAGACGACATAAAATAAACTAGAATGGAAACGAAATATGTGCGTTTGGTGGACGTTTTAAAGTCAATATAATGTTATTAGCATTACGAAAACCGTAGAAGTTCTGGTGTAGGTCCCTTATAATCTCTGCGTGATGCAAAGTTTATATGGTTTTGGAGTCATGGATATGCCCAAATGTGGTTCTAATGATGGCATGGGTTGTCCTTGCAGACTAGAGAACGAAAATCGATGCATCAATGTTGTGAAGAAGATAAATAGTTCCAATTTCGCCAACTGCTCTCCAAGACACGCTCGTGGACCTGCAACAATAAACCAATGCAAGTGCATGATTACCGGTGGTATGTTGATGGTAAGGGCATGAGTCAAATTAAATCGACAATAAAACTGCTCCACGCAGCTCAATTTGACATAGTTTTGGGATATGCAAAGCGGAATACAACACGCTTTTCTTTGCCACCCAACTAATGTAAACTTGATATACATAATCGAGACTTACCTATAGCAAAAGGTAGAAATGAATATGGTCTAATAATTATACCATCTTCATCTAACATTCTACTTGGAACAAACTCCTCTGGATTAGGCCAATATTTTTCATCATGGTGGACTGACCACAGATTCGTAATAATCGGTGTCCCTTTTGGAAGTTCGTAACCATGGAGACAGGTGTCTCTTATCGTTGAGTGCGGAGTACCCATGGGAGCCACTGGTCGTATACGTTGGATTTCTAGTAAAGTTGCTGAGGTATAGGGAAGGCTACGTCTATCACTCATTGATGCTACTGCATTGGGATCTGTTGTAAGTGAAATAATTGTTATGAATTGTATGTTTATCACACTAATGTATAATCAATAAGCTAACGTGCACACTAACCTTTTCCAAGCAACATATCCAGTTCCTCCTGGACCTTATCTTGAACACGTGGGAAGCGGATCATGAACAGTAACGCCCAGTTAAGTGTAGTTGCTGTGGTCTCGGTTCCAGCCAAAAAAAAATCTAACAACAAATATTTGAGCTGCTCATTATTAAATGATTTAGCAGATTCTCCCCGATTCTCAAAATAACCTGCTTTGTGTTGCTCCTGCTTCAACAGAAAGGCATCAATGATATCCAGCAGGCAGTCAGGGTTGAACTTCGTGTGGTGTTCCTCTATAACTTTACTCAAATATCCTAGAACTTTTTCAGCTGGTGATGCGAGATCCATCCACGACATTCGTTTTCTCAGTGGTTTTGGGATGATACGAGCAATCTGGAGGAGATACTTGAACGGATTTGTGTAGAACTGTTCATCTAACTGGTCCAGAAGAAACTGGAATTGTCCACTGTTATAATCGAATCTTTCCCCAAACGTTACAGAACATATAACATTAGATGTGCCAAGCTGAAGGTATCTGGCCATACCAATGGCTTCGCCAGCTTTTTCAAGTAATAGTTCAGCTAAGGAGATCGACTCTCGCTTGATTCTCGCTTCCATTGATGCACCCTCGAGACCAAAGCATTTCAGAGACCTCAGAGCGAATTTCTTTTGCTCTTGTAGATCACTATCAAAACTGTGTGTGATAATACCTGAAGCAAAAACAAAATCATTGATTTTAGACAAACTTCTATAGTTTGTGAAATGGTATTCCACTGCTATGGCGTGAGTTGGATTCCGTCCTTGCCATTCGTTTGCATTACTTATCATGTGTTGTGATTATTTCGTTTCCACTTTGTGAATCTATCAAAACTATAATGGGCACGGTACGTCAATGCTATTTATGCAAAGGGGCAAAACATAAATGGGGTGGTCAAAGTAAACACGAATGAACTACCCAAGCAACAATGGACATAGATCACAATATTGAAGTAATCATAAAGGGCACTCAACCCATTGGACAATTAAAATACCTTAACCGCAGATAATGGTACGATGTGACCGAGTCACGTGATCGTCTGACGTCAGCTTAAGTGCATTTAGCTAGACATGTAGGTCAAGTGGTGTATGTGCTTTGCCGCTCGACCACATGCAGGAATTTGACGTTAATACAAAAGTCATATTTCATAACATACGCTCAGCGCTGGGTTATTTGACGGTCATACAAATAGAACGCAAGAAAACGATTTCTAATTAACAAAGGAGTGCTCCTTAAAATGGAAATTAGCGTTAAATATTAAAGGACGGTGGTGGGTCCTATGCGACTTATACAACGCGTGTAAATACATTGTTTCCACGAAATCCGAACTCCCACTGCAGAGGGTGTCCTTCAAACTCTCCGGAGAATCTTTCGAAATGATAATTAACTGATAGCGCTAAGTACCTTTTCCCCCGGCACCAAATGACTTTATGAACATTTCTGGGCGGCCTGCACAATCGTCCCCTCTTTCAACCAATGCCTCTCTAATCCCGTCAATGCCATTCAAAATAACAAAATAGGAAGGCCCGATCTGAAAATTAAAAAAACAAAACAATTTCAAGCATCGGTTAAACTAGGCAGCACAAAGGTAGGCTTCTACAGTCTCCCAAGTTTATACAGGATGTAGAATTGTTTCCCAAACCCAGAAATCGTTTAAAATATCGTGAATGTATACTTAAGACAGATACAATCTTCTGTCAAGGAGATTAAAACAAATATTCACTGTTAAGCTCGAAATGTTTAAAACATATTCACAGATACAACCGTGTTTTTGTCATGAATTTGTTTTCGCGTATCTGTTAACCGACTTAATTAGTTGATTATTAGCGAATTGCTGTGTTATGTCTGTCATCGTGTAGGCCTATTTGAAGTTTTGGACGGAACTTGGCTCAGTGATTTGGAAATAATTACAAGATACCGTCGCTATTCTGACATCCGTAGTTATTACCAAACGCTTCAGCGTGGTATTAAGAGTTTGTTTTCAGGGGTGGGTGATACCAAGGTGGGAAATGGATGCACATATGGGGTTAATTCCTTGAATTGCAATATAGAGGGTTCAGGCTGAAATACAATATATAGTGTTTTCATGTTGCGTCTGATATTTCTGTGGTATTCTGCTGCTGTAAGTAATGCACGATTTGTTCCGAAATTCAGTATATTGTGTGTATTCCAGGGTTATTCGTTTTTTGCTGAAAACACCCCTATTTTTTAGTGGCAGAGTTTGAATAGTCTCACTCCCACTGGGAAATCTGCATTGTTGCTTGAATGTGAGTTAATTAAACACATTTTCCAGACCGGCGAAAGAGTATGCAACAGCCAATTTTAACAGCCTGTCACGTGATTTTAGTCTGAATGTCAACATGAAGAGGCTAGTCCATTTTACGCAGGAGTAATTGGGAGTAGAATATGTGAGGAATAGTATCAACAGAGATGTGTATAGTGAAAAGTAATATCTATCCTTCATTTACATCTCTGAGCATTTCTGTTTTAGTATATTGGTTTGAAATGTTGAACTTGCATGATTGCA